TCTTATTTGCTATTCTGTTTCTTCAGTGTTGAGAGGTTTTTTGTTGGGAAACCTTAGATTTTTTGTTAAAACCCTATTTCACATGTAGAAGTAAAACAAATTATGAAATACCAGAAAAACTTAGAACCAATCAACTGGTATCACAAAAGAAGTGATCAATCAGGTGGTATATATATGCTAACTTTTGACAGTTTAGATGGTAAAGTGACACCCCCTCCCCCCATATTATTATACTGGGGGTTTTTAGGTTAAAATGTTTACAGGTTGGATTAGGTGTGAAGGACTCGGGATAATTTGAGTTGAGCAGTGAACATAACCATTTAATTTCATTTTTTTAAATAATTATCCCTTCTCTCCTAAAACCTCTCTATACTCCTAATTTATTGTTCTTAAAATTCTCATAAAGTCTTAATTCGGTCAATCCTAAAATGTACTCTTAACCAATCCCCACTTCAAACTAAGACACATCTCTCTCTCTCTCTCTCTCTTACACACACACAAACTATTCGATCCATTTAACTAAAGTGATGTGCTTTATTGGATCGGGTTCGGTTTGGTTTTTGTTAATCTGACCCATTTACTTTGAACGGTATATTACCTATTGTTTATAATTAGTAATTTTATTTATTTTATTATAAATCATACCAAAATAAATTAATTATTTTCATGATTAATTAAAAATTCCTAAACAGTATTACTATTTTTAATAATTAATAATTTTTATTTTAGTAATATTTTTGGGGTTAATTACTAATATCGTTGGCAATTTACTAATAGTTTACCAAAATTAATTAATTATTTTTGGGACTAATTTAAAATACCAAAATATATTATTATTTTTAGTAATTAATATTAGTGATATAATAATAATTCACAACTAGTTAATTAGTGATATATTACCAACAAATTAATTAATTACAGTAATAATAAATTATTTTATTAATATTAAAATTTAAAAATTAATAATTGTTTCATGAATAATTAAATTGGTTATTTAATTAACTATTATTACTATTAATAATAGTAATATTTTTATAAATTAAAAATTATAAAATTTATTAATTCATAATTAATAAATTATTAACTATAATTATAAATTTATTAATAATTTGTAAATATTAATTATAAAATTTAAAAATAATTATTAACTATTTTTGGTGAATTATTAAAAAATACCATAAAATATTATTGTTATTAATAATTAATATTACTATTAGTAACTATAAATTAAAATTGGTGCTATTAATTACTAGTGGACCTTGCCATGCACAAGTTTTGTTAAAAGAATTTGAGGCAAAAAGAGTTAGGGGTGTATGTGTATCTTAGGTTGGGTGGGCCTAACTTGAGCCCAACCCAAGCTTTTGCACAAGTTGGGCTTAAGTTTTTGAACTTCAAGTTGGGTTTAGGCCAAAAAATTTAAGGCTAACCTAAACTCATGTTGGGTTTGGGTTGAGGCCTCATGTAGCTTAAGCTCGACCTAGCCCAATTTGAACTTGTGCCAACATACTATGATATACATATCTACACACTATCAATATGTTCTAATTGAAAATTGGGTTATAAAGCTCAATACACCTAAGCCCAAGTCCACCCCAAGATGTTAGGCTAAGCTTGGGTTGGACCTAAGTTGGTAAACTCAAGCCTGAGTTAGTAAATTATTAGTAATTATTGTTATTCTATTTTTGTTATATATTAGTAAATTATTAGTAATTATTGAAAATTACCAGTAATTTTTCTCTTGCCAACCTAGGCCTAACCCGAGCTTTAACCCAACATCTTGAGCTAGGCTTGGGATTGGACGTATTGAGCTTTGTAGCCCAATTTCTAGGTAGAATATATTAATAATATGTAGATATGTATATCACAAAATGTTGTACAGGCTCAAATTGGTTGAATCAGGCTCGGGCTACCCAAGGCCTCAACCCAAGCCCGACCTGAATTTAGGTTAGGCTTGAGTTTTTTGGCCTAAACCCAACTTGAAGTTGAAAATTCAAGCCCAACCTATACAAAATATTTGGTTGAGTTAGATCGGGCTCGGGTTAGGCTTACTCAAGTTGCACCCCTATCTCCTTTTGCCTCAACTTCTTTTAGCAAAGCCCGTGGTCCGTGCATTGCACGGGTCCCCATTATTATATAATAAAATTGGATGGTCCATGTCAGCATGTCTCTCCTTTGAGAGAAGCTATTTATCTATTTTTTCCATTTTTTGTATTTTTTCTATTTTCGTTTTTTTAAATATAAAAGATAATCATTATCTATTTTGATTAGATCAATAAAGTTGTACACTATATATATATATAGAGAGAGAGAGAGAGAGAGTCTTTTGGGTTTTCTAAGGCCTCTTATTTTAATGTATTCTATTATTACATTTAAAAAATACATTTAAGAGAGAGAGAGAGAGAGAGAGAGAGAGAGAGAAATAGAGTGTGTGGAAATATACAACATAATGAAGTAAAACATTAATAAACCAAATAATATAGATAGGTTGAGGTTAAACAATCAAACATAAAACAACCAAAATAAAAATATTATTTTAAAAATTATTAATTTGAAAATCCACTAAAGTTTCACTTAAAACTAATAAATATTAAAATTACTAAAAATTAAGAATTCAATAAAAATTTTGATAGGATAATTAAAATTAATAATAAAAAGTAACAAATCATTAATAATTTAGCATAACCTGATTAGATATCTAAATTTTTAACCTTAAGCAACTATTTTCTTTTGAGTTAAGTCTATCTCAAATATGCACCAAGCCCACATAATGTGTGTAGTAAGGTTGTAAACGAATTAGGTTCAAATCAAATCCAATTACATCCACATCAACATCCACTTACAAAATTTCTAGATCTGCATCAACATCTAGATATTATTATGTTGGATTTTGAATTTTTAAAGTATAAGTGCATATATGTATAATTACACATAATATCTATGTGTATACATAATTATACTACATATATACAAAATAATATTTTTTATTAGATGTGGATTTTAATCAAATTGGATGGGGTTAAATCCACGTCAAATTGAACTATTAACTAGATGCAAGTTCTAAGTTCTAACATCCAAATATGGGATAATTGGATTTGGAGTCTAATTGGGTATCAAACTTTTGGTGTCCAATGACGGCCTAGCGGATAGGGCCCAAACTAAGCAACCCCTAATAAACTTAACTTGAAAGTTATATGCATATATGGTAAATATTATTATATAATGTTTAAATAATAAATTTTATATTAATATATATATATAAATGTTATATATTTTTTATACTAAACAAGAATTAAATAAAAATTTAATTTGTAAAAAAAGCATAGTTTCATAATTAACACGAGCAAGCCTGTAGGCCCAAATAAATATTATTACACTTAAGGTGTGGGAGGGACTAGGCTAGGCAACCTTAAAAATTTCTAATACACTATCAAAATTACACTCGATGGGGGTAGCCTATCCCTCATAGCTACTTTAACTTCTAAAAATAGTTAAAAACCCAAAAATAATGCATGCATGGGTTGTACTCAGTTTGGTCCAGTTTAATTACGAATGTTACGATGCGTGTAATTTGGGTGGATTGGATCAGGACGGGGACTATTTCAAGCCTAATCCAAAGTCTTAAACCTTAAGTTTGGGCTTAGATTAATTTAATTATGTTTAAAAACGCTAACTATAGATAAATTTAATTATGACTATAGCTTAACTTTTTATATTTACTGATACTTAAATATTTTAAATATTCAAGTGATACTTATAAAAAAATTGAAACATTTAAGCATTGATAAAGAAAAAAATAAATAAAATAGGACACTAACAAATATTATGAAAAAATAATTAGCAATAATTTATTATTTTATTTAAAAATATTAATATAATTAATATAAATTACTAAATTAATAAAAAAACTTTATAACAAATTATTAAAAATAAAATTTAAATATTTTAAACAACATTGCATATTTGCATTATTTTGTTAATTATAAATTTTGATTATTTCATTTTCCTTGATAAATTCCGTGCATGGCACGATCTTCATTAAGTCCATGTAAAAGATGACAAGAAGTCAAAGAAACCCATCAACTTTGGCCTCGAATCTGAATTCCGAAAGTGAAAAGTGGAAATACATGGTACGCAGAAAAAGCAACTCTTTATTACTTCTCCAGCTGTCCTGTCCACCCGTGCCATTCATGTACATCGCGGTGACCGGGTAATATCTCCTGACCTTATATGTAAATCCTGGTTCTGGATACTGGATAGAGAGCTGAGCAGAGCAGATAATCCTCCCCTCAGTCTTAAGGCCCTCAGCTCAAACATGCTGCTATTTTTTATAGTTTCTACCTTATTCTTCAGGGCCAAAGCCAAGAGTTGAGAAGCATTTATCAATATTTATTTAATAGTTAATACAGCCACACTTCGCCCCAGAATTGTTATTCTTCAGTTTTTCACATCATGAATCTCTGAGCTGTAAATCTTTCTATTTTATCAAAAATATATAGAAAAAAAAAAAAAAAGAATTGTTATTTTACTTGTCGGGTCCGGATACCCGACTTTTTGGTGGCTGTTTTTTTTCCTTTTTATTTTTTTGGGTATTATTACCAAAAAGAGTCACATTACTGATTACACACAGACACAGTTACTACTTCCAGGCTTTACTCACTCAATTCACATTTTCTAGTCAAAAATACATATTAGAAAAGAAACCGTAATTTGCTTTCCTTTTCCAGCTCAGTTACAGACTTACGGTGATTCAGTGAACTTGTTTTTTTCTTCTTTCCTTCCTCAAATGACTTCAACAATTTTCTTACGCTAGATTGGAATCTAGTACGAATACTCGGGGCTTTGTACTGTAACCAGACCAATCTGACACCAATCCACCGGTATAAGAGGTTTCCAATACTCTCCTTATCCTCTTATCGAATCTCGATACCATATAGAGAAAACAAAAATGAGGTTTCCGATTAGGTTGCTAATAAAAAACTTAAAACATAAGAGTTACGACCGACTGAGCGAGAAGCCGAAAAATAATTGGATTTCGTCTAAAATACCCGCCATTGTACCGAATTTTCTGGTTAACAATAAAAGGAATCTCCCCTCTCCTCCCTCTCCCTCTCTCTCATCCTCTGATGTCTGTCTCTGTAATGAGAAAATTACAAGTAAATGAGAATGCTGGGGCTTCAGGAGACGAAACCGGAGAGATCGGCTTGCCAGGGTCGGGATGACAGTCCCAATTCTGTGATTTTCACCCAAGAATCCAACTTAAGTCTCGTCTCTTCCGCTTCCGGAAGTGTTGATCGTTGCTCCTTTGCGTCGGATGTTCACGATCACGAATCCTTCGTTTCCGAACTCTCCAAGGTAATCTCACTCCTCTCCACTTCTGTCTCTACTTGACATTTTATTTTTTTCCCTCCATCCGAGAATGCACGTAAATCTTTTTCTGCAACTTATGTACTTCTCTATTTTTTTCTGAGCCAAGTTTTGAGAAAAGCAAGGCTGCCTTCTATTTTTCATCTCCGAATGATCTATGCTATTTGGATCATCTGCGTTGAACTTGCAAGCATAACTTGAAGCTTTTTACTCATTTTCTCGTCTTTTTATTTTGGTATGTACTACCTTTTTTTTTTCGTCTAAAACCACCTCTGTACTTCCTTCAACGAAGAATAGAAGCACTTGAATTGAACGTGAAAAACAGTGGTCCTCTTCGCTTCTTCGCTTTCTTTTTTCCCGCCTGTTGTCTTATATGTGATTCTTCAGCTAGATTCATATTTCGAAATTTGAATAGAAAATGATAATAAGAAATGACCAGACCACTATAAAGATCAGAAAGGGGTTTTCAGCATTCAAAACTTTTATCAAAAAAAAAAAGCATTCAATCTGGTAGTAATTATATGAGCTTCGACCATGCAACTTGAAATTTGAAATCCATCCACTCTTCAACTTTAGAATCTTTGTTTTGGTCCAGCATTTGGCGGGAAGTGATCTCCACGATAGTTCGAGTGGTCCAGATCTAAATCCGAAGAGGCCACTTACGGTACAGAAGAACAGCCATCCTGTCAGAAAAGGCGAAAGTGCAAAAGGTACCAATTGACTAGCATGGTTGTAATGAAAAAGGGGAACAAATAACAAGTAAATAGAGTAACATTTCAAATTTTCAGTCACTAACTCTAGCCTTCGTTTAGATACAGATCGAGAAGAAGAAGAAATAGAGACAGATGACGATAATCAAATCCTAGATAGAGGAAAAGATTTTGATTCTTTCTCCACTGCTCTCATAGGTATCGAGTCCTGATTCTAACTTGTTTTTCCTCTCCGGGTTGTAAACACTATAACCAGTTTGTTTCCCAGAATGTCAGATCCGGCGACTCCAATCTGATCCTCTTACAACCGCAAAGAAACAAGGGAGGCAAAGGCCCGCCTCGTTAGATCTGAATAGTCGAGGAAGCGATGCCACCGGCTCTTCGCCAGGATTAGTAGGCATGAAGAAGAGCTCCGGTTCTTCTCGCAGATCTGGTACGTTTCCTAGCCCGGGGACGCCGAATTATAGGCATGGTAGTGTAGGGGTTCAGAAAGGTTGGAGCTCAGAACGAGTGCCGCTGCCGGTAAATGGCAGCAGGAGGTATGCTAGTGCTGCTCTGTTGCCTTTGAGCAATGGAAGAACGTTGCCATCTAAATGGGAAGACGCAGAAAAGTGGATTTTCAGTCCAGTATCAGGAGATGGAGCTAGCCGGTCTTCAATGCCCCATCCTCAAAGGCGGCCCAAGTCCAAGAGTGGCCCGCTTGGCACTCCGGGAATGGCTTTCTATTCGGCGTATTCGCCTGCAATGCCAATGTATGACGGCGGGAATTTTGGGAGTTTCATGGCGGGTTCCCCTTTCTCAACTGGAGTACTAATTGCAGATTGTCCATCTGGTCGATCTGGTGGCGGTGGTCGTCGTGATGGTGCTTCTGGCCGAGGCTCTCTCCATGCTCAGACGGAGCCCTGTATTGCGCGTTCCGCTAGCGTGCACGGGTGGTCGGATGTGTTGGCTCAGTCTTCGACGACCGGCTTACAAGGTAATGATTCATGGCCATTGATTCCTTCATTATCTTTAGAGTGTCGGTATTCGGTTCTAAAGTCTAACTTTCTTGGGATGGACGTCTTTCTATACTTCATTACTCTGCAACTCTTACCAAAAAAAAAAAATCGGAGTTGAACGGAAGAAATAGGCTTTTTTTTTATTTTTTATTCATAACATAAGAAATAGGATTTTTTTTTATTTTTTATTCATAACAGAAGAAATAGTTTTTATCAGTTTGATGATCACCCTAGTTTGGGATTCAGAATTTTAGATTGTTTAGCATTTGGCGATTAGAAACTCAGGATTTATAACAGAGAGCATTGAGCAAGATACACATCATTTACTTTACATTATGGACTCTAGAGTACATTGCCAAAATTGGACTCTATGTAAAGATAGCTAGATCAGAGATACCGTGAGACATTGTATTTCAAATTAGCGTTCTGCCTCGGAGCTCTGAGATGTTTGTCTTGGAGACCGGAGAGTAGTGCTGGGCTGCTGGTAGATGAGCTTGACGTTCCTTCGTGTGTTAATGTAGAGCGTCGTTTGGTTCATCAAAGTAGCTTTTAAGAAAAAAAGAAAAATTTGGTTTAACATTTGCAAAATAAATTTGAGGAATGAATTAGCGTAAATCAGCCAATATTTTTACTGACATCAACTGTCCATCAGTACAAAAATAAAAAGAATGTTTTCTTCTCTATTTGTAAAATAGTTTTGAACCTTTGATAAACTTGAGTAAATTAGGCAATGAGCATCTTATATTAAACTTATTGATGTACCACTATCTCATTGCTCAGTTTTGATAGCTTGTTTCATATGCTATTATAGATGTCTGACTCTGGTGCAGTTCAAAAACAAATCACTAAAGCTGAGAAAAAAAGGAAGAAGAACAATTCTTCACCGAATATTTAAGAGAAAATCAATAAAATTCTCCTAATTTTGGTCTATCTACTCTTTATATAGACTTCTTTATACCCTTGTGCTTCCTACAAGAAATTTTTAAATTTAATTGAACACTCCTTATTAATATTTCAATTAAATCTCTTCAAAAAAGAAAATCTTAATTAAAGACAAATTCAAAAATTCTACAATTATGCTAACTTATAAATGCGAATCAAGATAGATAAATATAAAAATCTTACAATGGAACCATCTTGATAAATTTGAATTAAAATGGATTGTCAAACACCAACTTAGTAAATGCTTACTTAGTTGGACCAAATCCCATACTATATCAATGTCTAAATGAGGCAAATCAAACTGTCACATTTCTGGACCAATGCTTGAATATACCTAATTAAATTCAAAACATATCGGACCACTTGTCGGCATTTAATAGGATGTCATACGAAAAAGGTCAACAGATGCTCTCAACGGTTAGGCGCCACTCTCTTTCTGTAATTTTAGCGGAGAAGTACAGAGAGGCCTATTGCAGAATTCTGATTTTCATTACAGATCTACAACATTTCAAAAGGTCAATTACCCTCACCCTATGTGTCAATACCGGCCCCTGAATTGACATCAATTCCAAACTGGCACCTATTCCAACTGTATTTTGTGCCTATAAATTCTGACCTAGGTTGAACCATCATTATCTCTAATTTTAACATAAATTTGGTATCAATAGAGATCTTAACAAAGCAGCTCGTACCGACAGCTCAAAAGAGTCTTCCATCCTCGTCAACTTTGTTGGGAACTTTCCCGGACTAGCTTTATGATATCTTGAAGGATGATCCTTGGTTTTATTTTAGCTTCTCCTCTCGTTACTGAGTAGCAGGTTCTTTTAGTTTTTCTCTTGCTGTTTAGCCTAGTTTTTCTCTTGCCGGTTTCTGGTTGGCCTTGTTTCTTCACCATATTTTGTTTTAAATGAAAAAAAAAAAAAAAACATTGTTTTCACTAAACAGACAGAATTAACTAATTAAGGTTGATTAGACTACGCTACGGGGCTTTAGGACTTCTCTATTAATGTTACACTAAGGCCTCGTTTGTTGCAAATTGCTGGACGTCCTTGTCAATTTACTGTTGTCATGTGAACATTTAATCCTTATCAATTTATTATGACATAAATTCGATTAAGGACCTATAAGAGTGGAAAATTTTGCTAAGGCACATCAGGCAAGAGTCCGAGATATATGCTTGGACAAATTAGGTTAAAGCCATATACCTTTTGACTTTATATTGTTATTTCACTTTATCTTATATTCGTATGTTGCTTTTATTTGGCATTGGGACGTACTGTTCAATTAATTTATGCACAGTTAAATGTAAATAGTTAATCATTCTAAAGATCCAAACAAATGCTTTTAGTATATCAAACTCTTATATTCTTACTTTTTCATCTCTGATAATAATTGGTTCCATTGAATCACCTCCAGATGAGAAACTTGATGGCACCAAGGATGCAGCAACCATGATATCTCGTTCTGTTTCAAGAAGGGATGTGGCAACCCAGATGAGCCCTGAGAGTAGCACCCAATCATCACCAAATGGTAGGCCTTCTTTCTCTCCCTCACCTCCTCCACTCCTTCCAATTGTGGAGCTGCAGGGCCGCCATTCCTTTAAATCAGAAATCAGGGACGTGCAAGTAGATGAACGGGTCACTGTGACAAGGTGGTCTAAGAAACATGGCGCCCGAGTGCCTGAGAAGGGTTCAGCAAATGTTGAGGACTGGAACAAGAAAGCCACAGAAACTCAGCCTTCAGCTTGGGAAGTTGCTGAGACAGCAAAATGCCTATCAAAGTATATAACTTCTTTTTAATTTTATTTCCCAAAAAGAAATTATGTTTATGAATGAAATGATTGAACAAGATGAAAATATCTATTTATCATGCAGGTGTAGAAGAGAGGAAGCCAAGATCACTGCGTGGGAGAACTTGCAGAAAGCAAAAGCTGAAGCAGCAATACGGAAACTAGAGGTTCCCTTTCATACTTCTATTATTTATTATTTATTTCATCCTCTTACAATAGGGCAGGGGCCATTACTTTGGTGTACTAGTAAAACCTCAGGCTAACAAGCCTGAAAAACACGGGTTCGAATCTGAGAGCACCCACTTAGTGCAAAAACATGCCAAGGTTAGGTCTGTTCCACCATTCCATTCTATTCAATGTCATATCCATAATCTATTATTTGTACATTGATAATTCTAGATGATAATAATGATACTAATAATATATTCTAAATTTTATGTATTTTTTATTTTTTTTTATTTTTATTTTTGTTTTTTAAAATTAATCAGATGCAAATTGGAAAATCCAAATCTGATTAGATAAATATATCATCCAAATATGTGATAATCGGATTGAATTGTGAAGTTTCAAGTATCATTGTCAAACCTACCTACTTGGCTAGACCCTTCTTTTTGTAATGTTTTATCTTTTCGGTGTATCTTTTTTTCTTGTTCGTTTATCAAAAAAATATAAGATTTAAATAGAGGGAATTGAATGAGGTGAAAAGTAGTAGTTCCATTTATAATTTAAACCTTACAATTAAACAGGGACTAAATTCAAAAATGAGTATGTATTTTAGTCAAAAGAAAGTGGGACTATCTTATTCATATTTTTAATATTAGTGTAAATATAGAATTATAGATGTGTTGAATTTTTTATTATTTTTTTTTGTATTTTTGTGTGTAAAAATAATTCTGATATGTGACACTTTCTTTTTGTTTAATATGATAGTATGCATGTGTCTGAATGTTTTTTTTAATTTATGTATATTTTATTAATTTTTATTATTTATTTATGACATTAAAGGTTAACACATTTAATCCAAAAGTTGAACTATTTATTACTAATTTTTATATTTCATTTTTGGCTAGTTCTAAATTATGTATTTCGTTTTCACTACCAATGAAAATAATTCTCGTTTATTACATTTATTTTTTTTATTTTGATTAATGAAAATATCAAAATGTGTCTATTTTTTATATTTTTATATTTTTCTATATTTATTTCTAATTTAAAATTTTTATTACTTAAGTATGACTTCATAAGTTGATCAATTTGATTCAGATGGTTGAATCACTTAGTCACCATTTGGATAAAGAATGGTTTTGTTTTTGAGTTAGTTTTAAAATATATGGATTTATATTGTTATAAATATTGGCACAGATCTAATTAGTAGCATTTATTAGTGAAAAATAATTTAAATATTAGATTTAATAAGAGAAAATGATATATAATATCTTAAGTATAAGACTTAATGAGAGGAGATTAAATGAGGTGAAAAGTAATAATTGAAGTTATATTTTCGATCCTTACAATTAGAGATGGACTAAATACATAAATATGGGCACTTTAATAGCCATAAAGCTGCCATTTATAATAAAATGACTTTTATATTTTTTTTCGAACAAATAAATAGAGGGTAATTTTAGTTTAAAAAAAAAATCACACTGCATCCACACTTTTATATATAGTATAGATATTGTGTATGCACATGATAAACCATTTTAATGTACTTTTCCTTATTTTACCATCTGTTGTGGTTTCTCACAAATATGCTCTTTTGTAATCCTGTCTTTTCTAGCTTTTCAAGCCATTCATCGCACATTTGCGTTTTTGCTACATTCATGTTTTTGGTCTTTGCTACACTTTTGTTTTAGACTTTTAGTCTCTTATAATCCTGTTCATGGGTCGGAAAAGCTAGAAAATTTTATAATCCTGTTCACAGACCTAAAATTTTTCCATTATTAAAGGAAGAATATTTTATTTTTGGACTACTGAAAACCCTTTTTGGTGAAGGTCCCATTTTTCCAGCTACATAGAGATGAGATAGCCAATCAAAACCATAATTCTTCAACCCCTCAATTAGCTATGGTCTACATTAGCCTCATGGTCTTTGAATCAATTGCCAATGATAACTGGAACCGACGAACCGTTTTGAGATCGGAATTAGGGATTAGAGATGCTTTGCACAGCACCTCTGATACTTGGCTTAGTACTCTACAGAGTCAAAACTTAGTTGGAAAATAAGAAACTGAGAAAACATAAAATTCTGGAGAATCTGCCCAAATTGAACAAAAGGAGGATAAAAAATTATAGGAAGCAGCTGCTATAGATTGGTGTTCACTTAAGCTATGTTTGGTTTGAAGAAAAAGGTAGGAAAAGGTAAAGAAACCTTTACAAACCTTATATAGGTTTTCTTGTCTTTCCCTTCCTTTCTCTACCTATTCCTTCAAATCAAGCATAGCCTTAATGTTCCATGGGTTCTTATTAAGGGGCCAATTTCTCTTATAGGTTCTTAAGGCTTGAAATACGTGGGATCTAGAGAAACCGATAATTAAAAATAAGTTAAGCAGAAAATATTTGTGGTAGAAATATATCTCCTATTATTCATGTGAGACAAGGCATTAGTGTTTGTTGCTTTTAATATTCTGATACTTGGGTTTAATTAACTTTGATCCAGATGAAACTTGAGAAGAAACGATCATCTTCAATGGATAAGATAATGAGCAAGCTGAGATTGGCCCAGAAGAAAGCACATGAGATGAGGAGCTCAGTGGCAGCCAACCAGGCCCATCAGGTAGCCAGGACTTCCAGTAAAGTTGTATCCTTCCGTAAGGCTGGGCAGATTGGATCTTTGAGTGGCTGCTTCACCTGCCATGCGTTCTAGAAAAGTATCCGTTTTCCCATTGATTCATCTTCACTATCTTGAGTACCTGGTGAGCTTTATTTCCCTAGTGTGTGATATAAAAATATCACCCCCTCCCCTCTCACACACATAGCACGTATACAATTTGTTAATTTGATAATGCAAACATCACAGAAATATTAGATTTTTTTTTTCTTTTTCTGGACATAGCAAATAGTAAGTTTGTATATCCAGTATTGTTAGGTGTCTGCACTTAGACACACCCAAAGAAAACGAAAAGAAATATATAGATATCCTAGCTTGTACGCAAGAGAAATTTTCAGTAGAGGACCATTAAGAGGGAAGAAACAGATGTAATTAACAACTTATGACCACCGTTGTCTTAACCTTTGCTTTCTGACTGCCAAATTTACTCCACCACCCAAGCATGGGGAGCCAAGTCATTGCGGTGACTCATTTGATTCCTGGCTGAGCCAATTTTTATTGGTTCCTACCCATGACCTATATAAAAATGCATAAACTGGTATAATGAGTTCAATTTCAAACAAATTAATAAAAAATGTTTTCTAATTAAGGGATGTTTGACAACATGATTTAACTCAGCCCCAAGCATCATAAAAACAAATAGAACTTAAAGCCCTAGGGATAGAGGAAAATTCGGCCTACTTTTGCTACATGGACAAATTCTATGGCCAATTTGAACTTTCCATAAGATAGGGAATCCTTTAATATGTCTCCATACCATGGTTTTCAAACTGTTATTGACCTGGATGGTTGAATCATTCAGCCCAAAAACCGGCCAGGCAACTGGTTCCATAATCCATTTTACCCTTGAACTGTTCTTTTGCCCAAAAATGTTGATTTGGTCAGTGACCTGTTGATCCAGGCGGTCATCCCGTTTGACCCAGATAATAGATTTTGGCTGTTACTTTTTTTTTTTTTTAAATTGCAACTAGCTGAAGCTGATCTCCTGTGGGTTACCAAAAAATTCAAAACATGGCAATATTTTTGTCTCATAGCATGTATTAGGGATATGCTCATACAAAAGGATGAGTATAAATTGGGCACATCCCCTTCATAAAAAAAAACTGGATGTGCACTTAATAAAATTCTACATTGTAAACTGATTCCCCAAATCAACTCCATGACTAACAAGTCAACCTCAAACCGAATGAATGAAAAACCTGATTCGGCAAGTTATGCTAACCAAGACATCATTTTTGTTAGGCATGCTTTCTTTACATGATCAAAATTCTTGCATCATTTACAGTCAACTGATCCATGTTTTTTATTGACGGCCACGTACAGAGGACTCCAAGCATGGAAAGACAAGTAAACAACAATGGAGTAAGCAGGGGAAAAAAGTTTACAATTTCAGCAATAGCCAATAGGTAGTGCCAATCAGTTTTGCAGTGGCTGGAAAGGCGGGTGTTTCCAAATAGATGTCAGAATGTTCTCTACATTCATTTCATGGGGGATGTGATCCATTACGGGAATTCCAATAATAGCGTATGAATTCATATATGTAGCTCGCACTTGGGATTTATCAACCATCATAAATGGAAATTCTGATCATCGGGCTGTGGAGCCCCCCTCTAATTTGAGTGGAATATGGAGTGATCTGGTCCAAAATACCAGAACATGATCACCTGTTGTAGACATGGTCCATGCTCGACACTCCCTCATTCTCTTTCATCAAAATAAGCACCTTCTTTTCGATGGCTATTACAGACTTGGAGTTCATTAGCCATTGTTAGGGTTCAGACGATTTGAATTTGTGTTGATGATGGGACAATGAGATATGCAATAACTAGAAATATATCTTAATCCACAAATGGTAATCCTGACAACTTTGGTGCCTAGAACGGTCCAAAATACAATGTCCACGGTCCACCTTAAGCAATGAATTAAGAATTGCATTACAATTAACCTACAGGATCCATGATTTCACGAGCTGAGAGTTTTGTGAGAGCTTTATGCTTCTTGGGCTCAGGCAAGGGTGTCAATGGACCGGTTTTGGACTGAACCTCGTCCAGTCCAAAATCAATTTGGATGGATTGGACTGGACCTTGTCGGTTCATAATAAATTTGTATTGGATTTGGTTGGATTAAGCCAATATCCAGTCCATTGATATAAGATAAGAATATAGGTGTCAATGGACTAGGTTTGGGTTGAAATCAACCCAAGTCAAAATAAATTTGAACAAATTAGATGGTCAAATATTGAATTGGATCGATCCAAAATCATCCAAATTATTCATTGGATTGGATTGGACCTAGTCCATTTCTAATGAACGCACATTGGACTGGATTGGATTGGACCAATTCCAGTCCAATCGACACCACTAGGCTCGGGGCAAGGTGGGCTAAGCCTCCCCTGTTATTTTTTTACCTTCTTTTGACAAAGGTTAAAGCATTCCTTGGGTGGTCCCCCCTCCACATGGAGTAAAGTTCGGGAATAAAAAAATATATAATTACAAACAAGGAGGGCTGTAAATTATTCAGCCGAATAAAATAATTGTATGGGGAATTAATCATCAGTTCATCACCATAGCCTTAATTCCAACTGTTTCAAATCTTAGTGCACAATTATTTTAAAGAAATTATAGAAAAATCACTGCTATCGTATGCCACAATAAATACATGTTTTTCATTTTAGAAGACTTTGCCTGCATAACAAGCCCCGAAGATGAGGCCAGCGATTACATCCCAACAATTTAACAGTTAATTTGTCCCTGTTGATTTCCATCTACACGTGCTTGGCAACAGGATCAGAATTTGAGTACAGAATCAGAGCAATCCGCAGTAGTTGGTAATTGTTAGAGACAAGCAACGACACCTTTGGCAACATAATTGACAACTATATGGCTTTGAACCAGATTCAAACGGTGTTCCAGGGAGAGTGGGTGATAAAACATTTAATTTCTGTCGATTGTGAAAACTGAAGACCTCCATTTATCCATAGAACATTGAATAACTGGCCTTTCTAGTTGCTTGGGTAGTCAAAAACAAGGCCTTCTGCTACACTTCTTGCCCTTGCATGACCAAAAAGTTTGCTCACAATAGCCAGGGCAAAATCTGTTGCAGTGGCAAGTCCTCTGCTCGTGATCAGTTTACCATCAATTACCACTCCAGCACTATCAACAACTTGGCTGGTGAGTTTGCCCACAACAGAAGGATGAGCTGTGGCTCTTTTATCCTGTACAGCAAGAAGACGCAGAAACCTTAATAATTATCTACAATGGGTCTGACATGAACTTCCTGCACATTACCTCGATTAAACCTTGCTTCTGCAAGACTGCTTGTGATGAACATATGGATCCATATATTCTTCCAGATAATTTTTGTTCCCTGAGTAGCTTCTTCAGAACCTTGGATTTGTGAAGCCGCTCAGCTCCTGCAAACCCTCCCTGAAAACTTAGGTTTAATCAATCATCCCTACAATCATGTTGGATAAAATGAAAGGACGAGTCCAAGATTATAACATGGCCAATATGAATTTTACGACAATCAGGTAGCAAATTTTATAGTCCAACAAGGTGACATGATGAATATTCGCTTAGAAATACAGTCAATTGAACATTGACCCAATGATGTCAGAAGTCAGACTGGTGAGCAAGTGATTGTTTGGGTCCCAGTTAAATTATGGGTTTTCATGGTTTGAACAGGCTAACCAGCCATTAACCAGTAAAACCATGACCTACTGAGCATTACAGTTTTGTACCCAGTCCAAGCCTGATAACATTGCATTGATCATTATATCACATCATGGAGAGAGAGATATTTGGTAATGCTTTCAGGTGGGGGTGAGACAAAGGAGGTTAATCCATGTACACAAAGCAAAGAAAACACTGTCCCAGTGGCTGGATCCCACCATCCCACCCTGTGTCCCCTATAGGATGGGAGAGTAATGGCAGATGTTTTTTCTTTTTTCGAGAAAAGGTTAACCAGATTTCATTAAAGCAGCATGAAGTACATGAGCAGATGTACTGCACGGAAGAAAGAAAACCCAAACAGCTAAAGAGAAAAATTACAAGGGGGGAAGCCTATTGTACAGATTTTCTAGTCTTGCTCCTATTTTAGCTCAACCATCTGCAATATGATTCAACTCCCTCGATATCCACAGCAAGTTTGCGTTTATATTTTCCAACGAGTCTCTAGCCTCAGCCAGATAATGACTCAACCTCCAAGGGCCCCCTTCCTTGTTCTTCAGCCATTGATAGTATTAGCAGAGTCTACAATGGATAAGTTCTGAACGCCCAACCTTTTTATTATTCTGATTCCAGTGAGAGAAACCATAACTTCAGCCTTTGTTGAATCGGCATAACCAATTGGGCTACTAAAAACCCAACAGATATTACCCAGATCATCCCTCAAAATACCCCCTATCCCAGCTACACCAGGATTGCCTGCAGCACTTCTGTCAAAGCTTAAAGTCATCCCTCCATTATGAGGTATCTGTAGTCTCTGGATTGGTTGAGGGTAAAATGGAAGAAACAAGATCATTTGGATATTTCTGTTAAGGTCATTGAGATAGAGTCCTTGGAACAGCTCGGAATTAGCAGTCCAGAAATTACATTGAAAGGAGATATCTGAGGTGTTCTTCAAGAGATCTGATTTTGTTGTCAAATACATACCTGTTTCTTTCCTCCCAAATTCCCCACAGTACTGCATGTAACACCGTTTGCCATTACACTTTACCTCTTCTGCTCAGGCCTGAACCATGCCACTGATGGAGAAACTCCTGAATATGCTTTGGAAAGACCCAACTATAGCCAGTCAGGTTTAAGAAATGGCACCAGATCTTTTGAGAAAAATTGCAATGAATAAGTAGATGATCAGCTGATTCACCTTCTCTTAGGCAATAGCACACAGGCATGAGGAGAAATATAGGATCTTCCCAAACTTTTTTTCTGAAGAAGGTCACAAGTATTTATTCTCTGTAGGCACGCTTCCCAAACAAAGAAGCAGACTCTTAGCGGAATATGACTGCTCCAGATCTTCTTAAATGGGAAAGTGGAACTCTGTTCACCAGCAATTAGAGCCTTGAACATAGATTTGGAAGAGAAATCACCATTTGGGTGGAGGGTCCACACGCGGGTGCCAATGGAATGAGGGGAAGTGTAGACTTCTTTAATGGTATGAAAGAAGTCCAAGAGGTCTGATATCTCTGTCCCTTGGGGGCCTTCTAAGGTTCAGGTTCAAGTTGTTATCAGCTGAAATATCTGGGATACAAGAGACAGTTGCATCTCGGTCTAAAGAAAGATTAGAGATTCGTGGGAAGGATTCTGCTAGGGTGGTGTTCCCCCACCAGAAATCTTTCCAGAATTTTATTTTATTACCATTTCCCACTTTACATCTGATGAAAGGAAAAAAAGAAGTGTGAAGAGGCTATACCTGATGAGGGCGGATTTGACCCTCCAATGACATTATGACACATGGCACCTCATGACAACTAGGTGCAGCCCGGCACTTCACAGGCAGCTCGCCACCAAGCAGCTCGGCACCTCACAGGCAGCTCACCACCAGGCAGCTCGCCGCCAAGCAGCCCACCACCTCACAGGCAGCTCACCACCAGGCAGCTCGCCGCCAAGCAGCCCGGCACCTCACAGGTAGCTCGCCACCAAGCAGCTCGTCACCTCACAGGCAGCCCACCACCAGGCAGCTCGGCACTCCACAGGCAGCTCACCACCAAGCAGATCAGCACCTCACAGGCAGCTCACCACCAAGCAGCCCGACACTTCACAGGCAGCTCGCCATCATGCAGCCTGGCACCTTACAGGCAGCTCGCCTCCCAGTCAGACCAACCGCCACGTGGTAATTCCAAGGACCTCACCATCGTACCCCGCGTCTTACGAGATCGTACCTTGTAACGGCTATATTAGCTCACCCACTCCCCGACTCAGGCAGAAATGGGCAACCTTACCGGTTGGTGGCATTATGCCCAACTAACACGGAAACAGATCCTATCACAGCGGGGATCCAGGAACTACTCCACCAAACCCACAAGGACTCCAGTATATAAAGGCTTCACCCCCCAGGGGTAAAAGAAAAGGAAAAAAAGAGAAGATGTGTAATCTCTGCTCTCTAGCTCTCTCATAATCTGATATCATCTTCAAGCTCACAACTAAGTGCTAACTTAACCATCGGAGTGTCCTCGCCGGGTAAGCCACCCTGGGTTCTCTGATTCATCTCTTGCAGGTTCATCGAGCCCGTAGTTGCTGGTCGCCAGATCGTCTCCAGTAGGGAGCAGCCGGATTGCGCCACATCATTGGCGCCGTCTGTGGGAACTGCTACTAAAAGCCCTTGTCTCCATTCAAAAATCTCAAGCTCATAAACAAATCCATGGCTTCCTCCAGCAACGCCGGACAAAACAACGAAGTGCACGTCTCCGACAACCTCAGTTCCCGTCTATCTGCATAGGTTCACCATACCGCTTACTGTAGCTGAGGTCACAGCGCTGACGATGCCCCAAGCGACTGCACAAGTGAACGCGCCACTCCCTCCTGTAGTCGGCGCAACATTCATTGAACCCTCTATGGTTCTGTGGGAAACGCTACAAGAAGCTAAGCTCTCATCCTACAAAAAGCTAAGTCCTCTTCTCCCAGAAAGATAAGTCCTCACTTTTAGAAACTAAAGCTCTCGCTTTATAGTTTCCATTTTTTATGAACTCAAAAACTATGCAGAAAGCTAACAGACTAAGCAACTCTACCAACTTTACTTTCAATTCAGATAAAACCTCACCAGTCCTCTTCGCGAGGTCCCCTCTACAAAGATGAGCTCTTCGTGGCTTCCGTGGGAGTTGGCGGCCAACAGACTACATGGGCGCCCTTGCTGGTCAAGCCTTCCAAGGCTCCCATGCGAGCTGGCGACCTAAAGTTAATGGTACTGTCCCCGAAGGTTGAGTTCCTAGTAGCTTCTTGTAGGAGTGGGTGACCGGCATCACGAGGCTGATGCAACGCAATCATAGCTCTAGGGCGCCCACCAGGCGGCCTGGCACACGCCGACTTGGCGACTTGCAAGACATGCTCGCCGACGAATTCGGCATGCATACCCAAACACTCTCACGATCCTTGGAAGTTGGCCCACGTGCCGAACGATCTGAAGGGTGGTCAACGTGCATGGCGGTTACCTCCAGGAATCTCAAGCCACTTAGACGACCTTGCAGAAATCTCGGATATGGTGCGTGAAGCCCACGCCAAACAATGCCTATATAAAGGCACCAACCCCAGAAGCAAGTAAGCAAGTTCTAGCTCTCAGACTTTGTGATTTTTAGCTCGTAGTCTACTATGAGAGTACTGACTTAAGCATCGAAGTGACCTCACCGGGTTAGCCACCTCAGGTCCTCTGACATTTAGTTCCTTACAGGTCTCTAAAGAGCAACGAAGCTCATCAATCCAGCTCGGCACCTGGTCAGCCCAGCGCCTCACAGGCAGCCCTGCACCTGGTCAGCCCGGCGCCTCATAAGCAACCCTGCACCTGGTCAGCCCAGCGCCTCACAAGCAGCTCGCCACCTAGTCAGCCCAGCACCTCCCAGGCAGCTCGCCCCCTGGTCAGCCCAGCACCTAGGCAGCTCCACTTCGGCCTCTGAGTCATCGACCACTTGGAAGCAGACCAAATGACGAGGCACAAGCGACCTGGCGACCTAGCCCTGGCGCCAACCTGGCAGCCTGGCACGGGCGTCGACCTGGCAACCTAGCCCACTAGCGAACTGGCGAACTGGCAAAGACTTCGGCACCACATAAGACCCAGTCGCCTCTTCGGCATGGGCGAACTAGTCCCAGTTGCCTCCTTGGCATGGGCATATAAGACACAATCGCCTCTTCGGCATGGACAAGATCAAGGAGAGTGAACTACAAGTCGCTCCCAGTGCCTAAGAGCAAAAGTACCGAACTGGCGGAGACTTCAGCACCACATAAGACCCAGTCGCCTCTTCAGCATGGGCAAGATCAAGGAGAGTGGACTACAAGTCGCTCCCGGCGCCTAAGGGATAAAATATCACATAAGACCCAGTCGCCTCTTCGGCATGGGCGAACTAGTCCCAGTCGCCTCCTTGGCATGGGCATATAAGACCCAGTCGCCTCTTCGGCATGGGCAAAACCCAGGAGTGGACTGCGAGTCGCTCCCAGAGCCTAAGGAATTGAATCAGCGCTTACGAGCTCATCGAATTAGTCATTTCAGGCCAGAAGGAGCAATCTACTCCCCTTCGCCGGGTTACTTTCAGCTCGGGAGTGGGGGGCAAATGATGAGGGAGGATTTGGCCCTCCAATGACATTATGACACATGGCACCTCATGACAACTAGGTGCAGCCCGACACTTAACAGGCAGCTCACCCCCAAGCAGCTCGGCACCTCACAGGCAGCTCACCACCAGGCAGCTCGCCACCAAGCAGCTCAGCACCTCAC